CGAGCCCCAGGTTGACAGAACAAGGGGCACCCCAATTTTTTGCTTAGGAGGGGTTGATTCCCCAATCCCTTCACCCATCGTTCTCCGAAGAAACAAAAAACAGCCAAATATTCCAAGGGGTTTGGCCCATTTGTTGAAGAGAAGGATACTTAAAGAGAATGTAGAAGGTATAGCTGGAATAGACCTTGCAGCTGCCAGGGACTATCCTGGACTATCCTCTACATGCATGGGGCGTCAAAGCCCGTGCCGCACACGCGGCCGAGTATTCAAGCTTTAAGGGTTGCCTTGGGTCAGACTTTGGCTGCCAAGCGCAAATGATCTCTGCAGGTGCTTTGGGCCTGACTTGCTTCCAAACGCTTCACTGCGGTGAACAGTACTTGATGCTCTATGCAGGGACCTCAAAATCAAGATACGGCATGGAACCTTATGAGAGAAGAGGTGTGTGCTTCTAGTTTAACATGCGCATTACCCTGAAAAAGGCTGAGTACCTTAATAGGATTGTGTAGATGCCCAAGATTGCATCCACACATGTGCCTGAGAAAACCAAGCAGTGTGGTACTTGCAGAAGGTTGCTTTCTGTTGGTTGCTCAACGCTACTGTTTGAAGGCCTTAGCATGTCAGGAGTGCCAAACAGCCAACATCAGAACTGGTCTGAAAAACAGGCCTAGAGTAGACACTCTTCTGAAACCGCTCTAGATTAGCATTGCATTGCACATCATTCTTCCAACCGAAATGAAAGTCCCAAAAGCAAGCGATGGCTATGCTGCAGCCTCAATGCCAGCACTGATTGCAGAGTGACAATAAGTAGGCCACTGTGACGCAACTGGAAGGGCGTACTCGAAGTTGCAGTAAAGGGGGTGGTTCCCTGGTATCACGTACTAACAGTAAGTAATGCTGCTTCGTCACGGTGACATCTGCCAACAGCATGTAGTTTGTCTTTTGTTTTAACGAGCGGTTTCAATCATGATGTGCATGCTGACTCCTTTGGGAAATAAGCGAACCCTTCCTGGGTTTCTTTTTCGGGGGCCCTGGGTTTCGCAAACAGGGAACTGGTCTAAACGGCAGAACCCCGGTTCCGTTTCTGTTTGACCAAGCTGATCTGTCGGCCTAGCCCGTCTATGTTCACTCGCGATGCGAGCAACGTCAACGCCATCCGCAAGTTGCTGGTTGTCAGAATGGAAGAGCACCTGCAAACTATCAAACCATTTGGTGCTGCCTGTTTGTGATCGAGGTTTAAAACCTCAGGGCTCCCCAGTCATTGAGCTGCGGAGTAATCTGGAGTCCTTCCATCCAGCTAACTGGCTCCCCCGTTTGGGGGTGTCCTGTTGAAGCTACACGCTTCTTTGGGGGTTGGCTTTTTTGGGGGCCGGCAACAACCGAAGCTTTGCAAGTCAGGCCTCCTAAGAACATGGCCGGAAGCTACCGGCCCAGGACAAAGACGCCCAGCCCGGCCGACGTGGCAATGCAGCATAAAGAGGCCTGGCCACAAAAATGGGCTCAACGAACAACCTGTGCATGTCCATGCCAGTGACTCCATTTCCCTGTATATATAGGTAACCAAGGGAACTAGGAGAATGGTTGGTCACCCACAACGGCAAATGGAATCCACTGTGGGGTCCATGAAAAGGACTCCCATTTCTTTGGCCGATCCCAAAGTGAACTGATTGGGGTTCAAAGGGCACAGGCCCAGGTGAATCTGCCTGTGATATCCTACCAGTGTTTCGCGCAAGGGCCCAGGTGACAAAAACCTTGAAGTGTTCAACCAATGGTTTTAAGTCTCAGCACAAGAGGCCCACAACAAGGATGGCTTCTCCGACCTTTGAGGGCACCCTCAAAAGAGACACGACCCCATGGCAACTCGCAGATGTGGGAAATCTTGGGCGGGTGTTTGCCCAAGGCCAAATACAGTACTCGGTTGGTTGTCTTTGGGTTCTTCCCTAAATCGGGTCCAACATTTTGGGGTATACCCAAGTCCAAACTTTGGTCGAGCATGACTTCAACTTCTTCAAGGGGTGGTGTGTGTGTGCGTAAATATATCTATCTATACTAGTACAAATGATATTATGATCATCATGATGATCATGATTCATGATCATCCAAGATCATCGTGATCATCATGATTTTCAGGATCATCAAGATCAAGATCAAGAGCATTATCATGATCATCATGACCATCATCGTCATCATGATCATCATCATCATCAGCAGCATCATCTTCGTCATCATCCTGACCATCATCATCATCATCATCACCCTCCTAATCGGAAAAGGTAGAAGCAGTAGTAGTAGTAGTAGTAGTAGTAATAGTAGCAGTCGCAGTAGTAGTAGTAGTAGTAGTAGTAGTAGTAGTAGTACTAATACTAGTAGTACTCGTAGTACTCGTAGTACTAGTACTAGAAGCAGCAGCAGCAGCAGCAGCAGTAGTACTAGTAGTAGTAGTAGTAGTAGTAGTAGTAGTAGTAGTAGTACTCGTAGTACCAGTACTAGTAGTAGCAGCAGCAGTAGTAGTAGTAGCAGTAGTAGTAGTACTAGAAGTACTAGTAGTAGTAGTAGTAGGAGGCATAGTAGTAGTAGTAGTAGTAGTAGTAGTAGTAGTAATAGTAGTAGTAGTAGTAGTAGTAGTAGTAATAGCACTAGTAGTAGTAGCAATAGCAGTAGTAGCAGTAGTAGTAGAGGTAGTGCTATTCGCATTCTTATTCATATATAGAGAATATGTGCATATGGCATGTATACACGGCGTTTTTACATACCCTTGCCTAGATGGTCGCGGAAAACTTGATGCTGTTCATAGCCCTCTATCCAAAAGGGGGGAACCTATTTATGAAGTAATCCCAACATAGTGGTCCAAAAGAATGGTTTGTTTCCTTTTGCTCTCTCCTTAAGACCCATCCAGAAAGGGATCCTATTTGAGAAAGACCCACATGCAACTATTAATCTGCAGCTTCCGCATCTCCCATCCCGCTTGAGCTTCTGGCCCAAATACAAACCACCAGGATGAGCTGACCCAAATACCTTGGCTTTTGGACAACCTGAAGCAATTGACCACAGCTCAAGCAGACAAGTCAACAACCAGGCTGTCTTTCACGTGGACCACGATTCGAATGGGTTGTTTTTGTTGGGGGTTACCCCTTGCGGGGCTTAAATAAAAGCCAAAGGAATCCAACCCATGTTCAAAAAGCCTAAACTACCCTGATGCACATAATGCCCTAACAAAACGCAAAAGGGGTTCTAGAGAATCGCTTGCTTGCACCATATGGATTCCATGGGTGGATTAAAACCGAACTGCCTGTTGAGTTGCCTGGCACCAACCACTTTGCGACCTTGTTTGGCATTGACTAACATGGTCGCAGAAAACTGTCGATGAACAAACCTGTTCGACAAACTCTGCTTTCAGCTTTCAAAAGCTGCAGACGTATACTTCGGTGAAAGTAGATAACGCAGATTTCCCATTCCGGTGTTCCACCATCCCTTTCCAGACATGAAAGGAAGTGTGCCAACTTTCACCCTGGAAGTCGATGCTCAACTAGCCTTTGAAATTAAAAGGACGCCTAGGCTACCTGCGGTCTGCCGAGTTGCAACTTCGCAGCCTCCAAAAAAGACAAGCCCGCATCCAACACAAGGTTGAGAACGCACATCCAGAAAAAGGGGCCATGCAGGGTTCCAACTACATGTCCAACCTATATCCAATACTGATTCAGAGCCATAGCAAGCCATAATATGTTCTTTCCCTTGATGGTCCTCTGTCACTAAACAGACTATATTATAGTCTAGACAGCAAATGGTCTGGACAACATTTTACCCTCCCATCCACTAACATGGAACTTGACTTAGAGGTCCTGGAAGACAACTGTCCTTTAAAAGGGAACCTCTGGCAGGTTCCATGTTAGTGAAAACAGGCGCCAACTGTCGATTCCGCCAATTGTTGCACTCATCCAGCACTCTTTTAAGGGGAATTCCCGGGGGTGGCATCAAAAACCAAAAACAACCCCTGGAAACCGATGTTCCGGGAATAGGCCACGCCGCGTAAAGAAGGCGATCCAGTAGAGGTCGCTGCATTCTTCCAGCGTGCTCTGGCTGTGGTCCACCCTGTCGAAAGCTTGGGCTTCATGGGACCTCCCCAAGGTGGATTCCCCAGAAACCAAAATTCTACCGACTTGTGGGCTGACAAGGGTGGGTTTTGCTGATGACCTAGACAAATCAAGGGAAACACTGGGTACACATCAGAACACTTCCGGAAGCCCACTTTGCATTATGGGATGTGTCAAAATAGGTGGACACTCAAAACGGCGGTTCTCCTTTTTGAGCAGGGAACGAGGGAAATGAAAGTTGGGGCTAGCCAATTGTGTCTTTCGATCCCCAGGTTGGAGTTAAAATCAGCCAGTGCTTGACAAGGGAAACCCGTCTATTTGGTTGGCTCACTTGTACTTGGGGAATCCACCGTACGGGCACAGCTATCTATAGGTGGATGTCCTGTTGATTGAAATCTAGACTCTGGAAACGGTACTATCTTGTGTAGCTCTTCTACGCCCTGTCTAGCCCTCCAGGATATGATCATTGAGCCAGCCTAACATCTTGTACTCTTCGGATATCCAGGATAGGTGCGGGTGGTGCTACCAACTGAGCGTGGACTTTTCTGGGGGGTCGGGAGGGGTTGGCGGATTCTTTCAACCAGGGTCTCAAATTATAGCAGTGGCCCTCATTGTGTCACCACCCCACCCGTACGACGAATAATTTTCCCCTTGCCTGAAGATCACCACCACGACGCCCCACACCGCCGTGAAGGCCACAATGAAGGGCGCGAAGCAGAAGATGCAGGAGAGCACTGCACGGAACGAGCGGAACACGCGACAACGCGAGTCCAAGGGGGTTCGGGTTGGATTTTCCAAAAGGGTGGTAAATTACCTAGAATAAAATCAGGGAGGCTCCGGTATGGGGGATGTCCTGAGCATAGGTGAACTTTTGGAAAAATAGATTACCCTGGTAAATGGAATGAAACCCATCTAAACGCCGCACTCACAAGTCTGACAACCTCCACGTTACTAAGATGACCAAGGATGTCAGCTTCACTGCTGAAGAAACACGAAACGTCAGCGCTGCCCACGACGTCTAATCGGCGCAGCTGCACAACGCGTCAGCGACGCCTTCCCCGATGAATGTCAATTCTCCATCAAGGAAACTGAATGAGGGGATGTCGACGCGTGATACAAGGGAGTACGAAGGACGCCCTATCCTGCTCAAGCCGCAAGGCTGAAACTCAAACAGATGAGCCGCTAGTTTCTACCTGCAAATGGACACCCATGCTCCTGCACTCTGTGAATTTGGTGAGTCCAATGTTCCTTTGCAATGGACCATGGATTAGCGGATGTTTTGACCGAACCTCATCATATTTATGTATGCAAGCATTTATGTATGTGTATCGTCTCCGTGTGACTCTGTCTCTGTCTGTCTCTCTGTCTGTGTCTCTGTCTTTGTCTCTGTTGTTCTCTGTCTGTCTCTGTCTGTCTTTGTCTCTGTTGGTCTCTGCCGGCCTCTGTTTGTCTCTGTCTGTCTCTGTCTCTCTGTGTCTGGCTCTGTCTCTCTGTTCTGTCTGTCTCTGGCTCTCTATCCGTCTGTCCGTCCGTCCGTCCGTCTGTCTCTCTCTCTTTCTCTCTCTCTCTCTCTCTCTCTCTTTCTCTTTCTCTCTGTGGGTCTGTTTGTCTGTCTATGTCTATCTGTCTGTGCGTCAGTCCGTCGCTCCGTCCGTCTGTCTTTGCGTGTCTGCCTGCCTGAGACTGCCTGGCTCGCTGTGTGTGTGTGTGTGTGTGTCGCTCTGTCGGTCCGCCTGTCTGCTTGGTTTTGTTTTTATTTTTGTCTTTTTACAAAGGACAGCTATGGTCCGAACCGAAAGGCAGAAGCGCCCTGATACTGGAACGGCTCACACGCAGTAGCATGACTGTCATCACTGTTAAGCGAAAAGAGAAAAAGGGGGCACAACTGCAATCGTGTCTGGCCAAATTATTGATTCATATGGCCAAATAGCCATTGGGATGCTCAAACATGCTTGACCCCCCCCTGTGACAAGCTGCTAAGTCCGCCAAGTGGGTGCAACAGGCTTGAGATTTGTTTTTTTCCTTTAATCATAGCTTGTTCTCATAGCTTGTTCATTCTACGTGCGCGGGTCAGTTTCATAATCTGGGCTGCAACTTATTATCAGCGAGCGTTAAGATCGCCCTGCACAAGCGGTTTATCCCTGGTTCAGGGCCACCACCAAAGGTTAGGTAAGCATATGCCGCTTTGGGTGAGAACAAACATATACATTATATAATTATATATAAGAAACACATATTGTATGTATGAGGCCATGTAAGCCCTGAAACTTCCTACATGGTCAAAATAATTCACTAACTGGAAACTGGGATCGTCTGGTGAACAAGCTCGCTTTCCTTCTGGGTAAAGTCGCTCGTTACAATTTGCGCCGAGAACATGGCTAGCAAACAGGCCAAGAATAGCCGTCTGTGTTTGTTAGCCAAAACTAGCTGTCCCCTTTTTGAGGCTCAACATCCTTTTTTCAGGTTGTCTTAGAGGGAAGCGCAAGAGGGGCCTCTGGATTTCAGCTTCAATTCACCGCTGGTTTCTTTTTGCAACTGCCACGGTTGTAGCTTTCCAAAACGGGAAATGCAGCACACCCTACCAAAGGGAGACATTCTGGAGTTGTCTTCTTTTTCGGAAATCCAACTAGACACCGAAGCCCCACATGTCGCTGCGCCCGACTCGACTCTGAGCCTTGGACCACCGGCTTAAAACACTGGGCCTGGCGAAGCCCGTTTCAGAGCGGGATGGGACTTTCTGGTTCCAATTTGGAAGCCTCCGGCCAACGGATTGTACCTCTTATGTTGCCATGGTATGAGTGTTACGTAAGGAGCCGTGAGTTCTAGTGGACATCCTTCAGGGGATTCATGTCCAAATTGGTTTTGAAGTTCCCTAAAATACAAATGTAAAAACCATTCCCGGACCTCCAGTCGCCATGGGGAAAACGGGCCACCCTTGTTCATTTTGAAGACCCCTCGAACTAAAGGGTGCCAGAATCAAAACGTGGAATCCTGACTGCGTAGGGCGTCTCAAAAAGGAGGGCTGGGTTCCTTTTGACTTCTCTTGAAAGCCAGCCAAAAAGGGGGGACGGGCCCCCCCCTTCCAAGACATCCCTCCTGGAATCGAACTGTTCTCTTACGCACATTCTTCCCCATAACATGCCCCATGCCCCTCCCGAGGGCGTTGTATAGGTCGTAGGGATCATGGAAATTGGGCATCGACGCCAGGTCCGCTTCCGCAGTGGCTGATGGCTTTGTTCGAGACTGACTCACCAGTGAATCCAGCTCGTGTAGAAATCAACCAGTCCTTTCACTGCCTTAAAGGGCGGTTCCCTTGGTTGCCTAAACAGGCAAATGGAATCGCTGTGTGCATTGAATCAACATCCAGCCCTGGAAAAACGACAATGCCCCCAAATCCTAACGCCGTGGAACAGGCCACACAGTACGCGCCTTCTGGGCGAAGCGCGACGCAAGTTCCAGGATGAGGCAAATGGTCTCAGCTTACAAGCCGGCAGCAGCTGATCGGGCAAATGAATGAATTGCAAACTGGAAGTAGCTTTCTGGCTCTGAGCCGGGAATGAAGGAATGACCCCCATAGCCTACAAACCATCCAGGTAAGGGACCTCAGGTAACGAAACCAATTCATGCCCGTTCTGTGCACCCTCATGACATGATCTACCTTTCGGGAAAACCAAATCGCAAGAAAAGTGTCATGAACCACGCAAATGGGTGTGTCTGTGTCAAAATCAGCAAGAAAGGATAGTTTTCCTTTTGGCTCCCCTTTAAGCCAGCACCAAACAAGGGTACCTCAAAAAAACTGAAGCATATCAAACAGGTGCGGTTGAGTCCAACGCCTTGCTTGAAACCATATAGGCCCTCCTTAGCGAATGGAGCTCCTAGCCGCTACGGTCCAAAGCGAAAGGGTCACCTGGGAGAACTCCTACAGCCAACAACTACCAACAAGAACAAGCGCAACCAACCACAACCAACCACAGCCACAACCAACAACACAACTTCCGGTTGAAACTGTCCCATACCAACCATCATCCACCCAGGCGTTGATCGTAGTTCGGCTCTCGGGGCTTGCTGGGGCCGATGTAAAAAAAGGATTCAGCAAGAAGGGAGGCTTGTCAAAATCAGGGCCCGTTTTTTTTTCCGGAGGCAGCTCTGTTGACATATGGGTCAGATATTTGACAACCCCCAAGGTTGCTCCAACGACCCAAGTTGTCTCACGAAAATCGAAAATAACATCACCCCAGGGGGCGCAATCATGGGGGTTAAAAGTTGATGTCGAACCCCGCAAAAAGGTTCAGTGGGCAACCCCATAAGGTGCGAGGCAACTGCCAAAGTGTCGATCTGGGGCTCAAGGACGCCGAGTCAAGGAATCCGTTCACTTTGAGGTGCAAAAGCAAGGAATTGGATTCGGCTGAAAACCTTTTCAGCACAATCCGAAAGCTGCACCTGACTCCACAAAGGCTCACACTTCTGGGGAAAACCTTTTATTGGAAACAGAGCTGTTGATCAGCGTCAGCTATTAGCCAATCCAGGAGCCGCTTCGAAGAACCAAACAGTTACAAGCAAGCGGCAGGTGCTGCGTGGGGTTATGGGGTTGCAGGGCCCCACGCCTTCAGAAGGTTTATGGGAAGTCTCCACTTCTGGGGTTCCATCTGTCCATCCAGGCCACAACCGCCATCACTGTCCAGCGCATGATCCCGAAGACGCGCCGGCAGGAGGTGTTCAAGGCCATGCTGGTGCTGCCGGTCCTGAGCTTATACCATATACGGGGCGGGGGGGGAGGGGAAACAGCCGGATGTAAGGCTCCCTTTAAAACCGCCTAGGAGGGATGGTCTCATGAAAACCATCCCTCATACGGGGTGTTGACCTCTGGCTGACTTGGAGGGAGCGGCTTCCGTGTCAGTACCACCATTTGGAGGCATTTGAGGAGTTTCGCGAATGCGGATGGACATATCCAGGCAACGTACCACCTGGGATCGGTGAAACCCTAACAATCTTGGGATAAACCACTCATCAACTGCCAAGTCTATTTTGCCCAACAGTACGGAGAAGTCAAAGCGACTGCAGCCACAGGACACACGAAGGCATGGGCGCTAAACACAGGCTCAAAGAAACCTTCAGGTAGCTGGTAAGTGGTAGTTGGCAAGTGATAGTTGGCAAGTGGCACTGCAAAAAAAGGGTATGCACTTGGGAAGTGGTTCGCAACCGTTGTGACACACTTACCAAAACCTGGTAAGCCCTCCAAGTAGATTATAGCCAGATTTTCTTGGACAAGTACCCTGCCCCTTTAAAAAAAATGCGGAAATGTGGAATCGGCCCTCGAATAGTTCAAAGCTGGTTCAGCGCCACTTACTGCCAAGCATCCACAGAGACGTGGGAAAGTGGGCCGTGTAGTGGCTGAGCGCGTAGATCCTGAAGGCAGAGCTCGCGCATTGTGGGAAGAGTTCCATGACTTTCTGGTTTTGTCTCGCTAACGTTGACTATCAACTGACACACTCTCAATACTATGAGACTGCAACAAGGCTCCTGCTACTGTGATGATATGCGCATCGCTTACGCCTCCAGGTTGGCTTTTCTTGCTTCATGAAGGGCCAAACTCATTAAAATGGTGGGCTATACGTTAACACAAATTCGAGTCATCATGAGATTGACATGTGTAATGTTTTAGGCCCTTACATTGGGAGAGTGGTGAAAAAGATCGCCCCTTTGGGGACGGGCAGAAAAGGGCCCATAATTATGAGAAACCCCCTTTAACTCCCATTGCGAACGGAAAACTTCACGTGCCATAGTGCTAGCTGACGGCTGCAACCTTTCTGATGCTCAAGGCAAACCTCCAATCTGCTCATTCACTGTTGCGTCACAATCAGCACCTGTGCCAAACGACTCTACCCAACAATGTGTAAAGAGTCAAGTCAAAA